GTAGTACTAGGAGCAGGAGTCATTATTGTGGCAGGTGCAGGGGTGACCGTGGTTTTGGGTGCAGGGGTCACTGTTGTAATAGGTGCCGGGGTCACGGTGGTGGGAGGTGTAGGAGTGACCGTGGTGGTAGGTGCAGGGGTCGTCACGGTGGTGGTGGGCGCAGGGGTCGCAGTGGTGGTAGGTTGACAAGCCGATGCAGGGGTGCGCGTGGAATATGCAGGGGTCGCAGTGGTGGTAGATCGACAAGCCGATGCAGGGATGCGCGTGGAATATGCAGGGGTCTCAGTGGTGGTAGGTCGACTAGCCGATGCAGGAGTGCGTGTGGAATATGCAGGGGTCTCAGTGGTGGTAGGTCGACTAGCCGATGCAGGAGTGCGTGTGGAATATGCAGGGGTCTCAGTGGTGGTAGGTCGACAAGTCGGTTTGGCGCGCTTGCTATGCGAATGTTTCAACCTGCCCGCTCTGGTGGTAGGTGCAGGGTTGACCATGGTGGTAGGTGCAGGGGTGACCGTGGTCGTGGGGACTCGATAAGCCGATTTGACGCCATACACGTCCGTCGGCCCGCTATGCGAATGTTTTAACCAGCACGTTCCGCCTTCGTGGCTGGTCCACACAAACAATTGGCACCCGTCGGTGATGTCGCAGTCTTCACCACAAGACTCGGCGAACTTTTGTTTTGTGGTTGAGATGTCGTTGCCATAGTAATCCACGTTGTCGGCCAATTCCGAGTAGCGAGGAGACAAAGTCGGGGTCGGCAACGCACCCGACTTGGCTCCGTAGTACGCGGTGACCTCCGTTCCTTGGCTCTTGAACCAGCACGTCCCGCCGTGGTAGTTGGTCCACACCCACACCTTGCAGCTGTCGTGGTCAGAGCAATCGCCACAGCAGTCGGCAGCATCGGGTTGGGCTGTGGAGCCTACGTCATGACCTTTGTAGTCGACGTGATCGATCAGGTTGGTGCATTCGTCAGCATTGGTGCGGGCGGACAACAGCGCGAGTCCCAACAAGGCGGCACGCGCTGTAACCATAATACTAAGCGTCAGTTGTGCGACAACGGTGCCAATGTGAAAATGTCAAAATGGTGCGGACGTGCGACCTGGCTCCTTTACACTGTAGCCGGGCTACAGGGAGCTAGCTAGCTAGCTGGCTGGCGGCTGGGTTGAGGTAACTCACACACCAAAGCTTGCGTGAATTGCACCCAATGGCATTGGACCGTTCTTGATTGAATAGTTTCAACCAATCCAATGCGATAATTTGAACCAATGAATGAGCGTTAATGGGTACAAACTGCACTACATGCAATGTCAGACCATACAACAAGCAAGTATTTCGTGAGACATTCACGGAGTTGGTGAGGTATTGTGGCGCTCATGGCTGATCTTTGATGGGATACAGGTAATACGTACGTATACATACTAAGAAAGCTAACTGTAACCCGTTATATTACGTAGTAGTATAATATACCGTTAACGATACCGCACTGCCGCCGTCAGTACTACTAACTAGTACATCCGATGGTTCTTGATTCACAGTAGTTCACTCCAACCAATACTACTACTAGTAACATTCCATTTAGAACTCCTCAATTACTAACTAGTAGTACGTAGTAACATGATTGAAGAACGCTTACAAGGTCAATATCAATACCCAACCAACCACGATAATGGGATGGTGGTTGGCATATTCCATGAGTGTAAAATTATATGTCAAGAACCGTGGTGTGTTATTATACAGTCACTCGACATGCGCTGCACCCCCCCTACTCTGCATCGTTCGATTGCAGGGACGGCGTCGCGAAGAATGGGACATCTTGGACGCTGATGCAACTTGGCTGTAACTGGATGGAAACGGCGACAGCGGCTGTTCGTAATCTCAACCTGCCGCCAGTGGTAAAAGGGCTAACTCTACCTTTGTATGAATGTTGATGCGTGTATCAGCGACAAGCCTGCATGTTCACAACCCACCTCCTTGTTAGTGCTGACGAGTGTCCCAACAAGTACTACTAGTACACCGAGTTCGTACCGATATGCACATTGACCTTCAACGGTTGATTTGGGACGTTATTATGTACCAGGAATGATGGATTCCATTAACTGTTACTAGTACTTCTGCACGTCCCAGCCACCATTCGTAAGATCGTTCTGTGCCCGAGTGTGTGTCAAAGATATCAAACAATGGCATGAGGTATGTACATTTGCATCTAGTCCATCCTAGCGGGGTCACGCGACCAACTCACTCTCTGGGTCTGTACCTACTGTACTGTACCCTTCCGTATCTTTGCCAAAACCTCTGCACGCTTGCCTCGTCCAACTACCGGTACACTGTACATCAACTAACGATTGTGATCTCACCACCACACCCTATACAATGACCATTCGTTGGTGTTATGGATGCGTCGACTCCGGCTCCACGCTTGGCAATCAAACGTGCCCCCATGCCACCTTTGCGCCAATCCCGACACTCGGCGGGTTGAGCGTCCAGGATACGGCATATGTGCAAGGGTTGACGGCTTCTCGCTCGCCTTAAGGGCGGGCAAATTGCCTAGCTCATGGCGGATGCAGTTGCTACGTGAGTGGGGGAGACAAAAGTCGGCTGCCTGCGCGATTTCATGCGTCGCAACAACTTGACCAGAAAAGATATTTCATTTATGCATGCAATGGGGAAATGCGTTGTCAACGGGCGATACTGCTATCGGGGGATGTCGTTGTGGCACCCTAGTGCGATCGCTAGTACTTGGGGTCGATTTGTCGGGACCAGTTCTACGTACGCATGTTGTATGAACACCCACGGCATCATGAACGTGTATATAGCAGGATGCCGAGTGGGATGAAGGAACTACACGCACCTTGTAGTTGGGGTCGAACTTGAATTGGTTGTCATCCAAGAAGAGGAGATCGGTGATCAAGATCATGGTCAAGAAGATCACAACGGTCGCCTATAGTGACGTCAGCAGGTGCTATAGGCGAAGGTTTCCCTCAACAGCACGTCCTCCGATCAGCGGACCAGTGCGAGCGAGCAAGCGACATGGAAAGGCGAGAAACGTACCCATGGGATCCATGCCGAGTCGGCCGCGATGGCGACGACGATGAAGAAGAGGATCAATGCCACCTGGAGTCTCTGTCGTGTGTTGTAGACCATCGTGCCAGCAGGGGGTGACTTGGCGGCGGTTGATATGGAGCGAAGGGAATATGCGGAAACGCCTTCGGTTTAAAACATTGTTCTAAACACCAAGGATCCAATACAAAAAATACAATAAAACAACATACAAACTCGTTTGTTTTGATCCAAATATTTGCATCAAATCAAGAAATTCTAGCCCAAGTTTAAGATCCTATTGCCAATTTTGAATCATTATAGACAAAACAGTATGGTTGGGTAAAAAGGATGCATGTTGCATTATAATTGGCTCAATAATCTAACATCAACCAACGTTGATTCAAGAGGCGGAAGTGTATGGGGGAACTAGTTGCCCATACTACTGTGGTATTAGTATGATCGACAGTCCTCTTCTGTCGTCCTGTTATAGGGTCAGGACTGAATTATCACGACCTTGACTACCGTTTTCCTTTTCGTTTTCCCATAAATACACGTGGAACGGAGGCAGGTACCGGGAGTAGTGGCAGCGACTGCATATTTCGTTGTTTTTGCAATGTTTTGCGTTCGAGGATGGCATTCAAGTCGCGCAACTCGTCCGCCAATTGCTTTTCCCTAGTTTATATAATAAATATATATAAATATTTCCACTGCATGAGATCCACCTACGTACCGTTGTGTAAACCCCGTAACACCATCATCATCGTCGTCCGTTGTGGATTGCTCAGGCCATGCACTCGACGACTTACACGACTTGGGCAATAATAGTACTGGCAGCTTGGTCGGGCGGTTCTACAGCCCATCAAATTTATACGGTAGGGGTGGAAATAGCAAACGCCAGCAAACAATCCAACGGTACCTCCTCCTCCTTCTTCATCAACCCCCTTGGCAACCACTTGTTTGTGCTTGTAATTTTGTGGCGTGGCCCACATCGTTCCATGTCCAGCACTTCTCGAATCCCGAGCCGATGCTGTACGTCGTATAGTTGGGACGACCTCCTCTTTTTCTGGGCTAAAAATGCTCGCACCACCGCCTGAATGCGCCGCGCGGCGGCGGTGGCCTGTTGCTGCCGTCGTTGGGTCGGCTGCTTTTTTCGGGTAACGTTAATGCGCTCCAAGCGCAAGCGAGGCAGAGCCCAACGGGTGGCGGCCAGAGATTTCGTCTCCACCATCCATTCCGGACTCAGCTGCAGCGCCTCCAGGAGAGGCACCATAGGCAGCTTTCTCACCGTCTGATTATCCTCGTGGATAATTACTCGTGGACTGGTCTGGCGTTGTTCACGGGACTGGTAGGATGCGATCGCTTCCGCCTGGCTTCCTTTGTGCGCCGATGCTTGTCCGGTGGAGCAGTCGCTGTCTGGTTTGTTAATGGCTAGTGGTGGTGATGTATCGTAGCTGTCCAAATGCGGGATGGGCTCGACTAGTGGGGATAGCGCACTATTTGTACTGGCTGCACAGTCCTTTGCCATTGGTTGTTCAGTCGCTGGGAACTCCCTCGTCATTGTAGCATTTCCATCCAACTCGTGAGTACTTGTCTTGCATTCCGTAGCTTCTTGTCCTTCCAGTGATTTCATTGTTACTGCGTCCTTGTACATGGAACCACCACCACCTTGATTCTCGTTGTCCACTGCGACTTGCAAGTTTACGTGGTCGATCGCGTGGATATTCGCAACTTGTTGGATGAAACTCTCGGTTGGGGTCGACGTGTCTGGACTCGAAATGATGGCGCGTGCTGTGGCCAATGGAGTCCCTTCACCAAGGGTGGGCGATGGATCGGAGCTGCTGCCATGTTGGGGGTTCAAGCGGGCGTCTGAGTTGTCGGTTGCTCGTGGTGGCATGTCCTCGGTCGCCCATGATGTGGCGTCGACGTGTGGTTCGAGTATATCTCCAACGTGGATCCTTTGATCGCTTGGATCCCCAGGACATTTCTCCTTCGTGAAGTTGGTGGCCAGTGTGGTAGGCGGGAGTTCTAGTGCAACGCCCGACGCCAACTGGTCTGGGGGCTCGTCCTCGCTGTCTTTTGTTTCTGTCGTGAGTAGATCCGATGACTCTAGGTTTTCCACTGGAAATTCCATCACCGCCTCCACAGGACCCGTCGCAGCCAATCCCACTTCGGGGGCCATCACGTTGTCCGACACTTGTGAGGACTCCGTGCTGCTACTGTCGAATTGTCTAGGGAATTCTGGCTCGAGTACCATGTCTGATGGAGTAGAGAAGGTTGGGCCGAGTAGTGGCGGGAACGTCACCTCTGTATCCCGTGCTGTTGTCGTTTCACTCGGCAAAGTGGACGGCGACGATGGCTCGGTCGTTCCACCAGCCAAGGACGGTTCCTCTTGTATGTCTTGGTTGTCTAGCATAGTACTTCTTGCACTGGTTTGAGTGGCTGCTGCCACCAACAGCGTCGTGTTGTCAGTTTGTAGTTGTTCATCCACCATTACAACCCCCTTGATCTCGTCGGTCTGACTAACTCCGTCAGCCACACAATGTGACAATGTTTCCGTCTCAACGTCGTGGAGCGCGTCACTGCAAGTGACATCCGTTTGCGTATCACTGTCCGTCCATTCTTTCATCGATGCCAACGACGCATCGGACTGTGATGATAAACGTTGGTCTTCACATCTTGTGGCTTTAAGATTGTGTGGCAGGGGAGTTGACAGGTCAGGGGGCCAGTCGTCCATGTACGTCGAGTACGGAGCCTCGTCCACCACCGTCGACAATGAACGTTGGGACGGGTTGTTGGTGTCGACACATTCCACTGGAGTATCGTCGTTTAAGAGCTCCCAGTAGTCCATGTCCACCGTCACGGGTACATCCACCACAGGGACAGCCGACTCGCCTCGCTCCAGCCGTTGGCTTGTAATCGTACCCAGCGCAACGAAACCAGGGACAATGCCATCGTTATACCCAGCCAACGGGGGAGTCGACTGTGCCAAGGCGGCCGTGTCCACTTGACAGGTTTGGGCTTGATCGACGAGCTGTGGCCCCATGGATGGTGTCGGAGCAGCAGCCGGACTGTCCAGTACCTCCTCGTTCGCGCTTGTCAACTCTGGCGTTGTGCTATTGTCCTCTGTCGTAGTGACGATGTCATGACTGGGTGCAAGACCTGATGGTAGTGGCTCAGCCTCAACCGTGATGGACAACAGGCCGTTGGCATCGTCGATCAAGACAACATCCTCTTCCGTTGCGTCCAGTGGATCGAACTGGGTTTCATCGGGCGGTCGACGACTTGTCTCAGGCAGGTCCTGCTGCTGCGTTGGTGCATTCTCGTTCTGCGGTTGCGAGGCCGCATGGTAGTCTTGCCCAGTAATAGTAGTTATACTGTCCTCGTTGTCCGTGGAAGCCTCGGAAGTCCTCTCGATGGTGTCGAGTAGCGTCCAAAACGAGAACTCGAGGTGGGCTACAGATGAAATTTTTTCGGCAGTCGATAGAGTGCCAAATACGACGATTGGCTCGACTTTGGCCACTGCTCGCAACACTGGCGGCGACTGAAGAACCGAAACCCGCTGAGACGTTGAGTCCAGAGCATCCCCACGCTTGGAAACCATCTCCGCCATGTCTACCGCTGGTGGCTCGTGATGCCTAGTCAGTCATATGACCAGTGCACGTTTAGCTGTATCATCTTCGAGTGCATGCATATATATAGTCAAATACTGCTTGAGGATAATCATTGGGAATCATCATATTTGGCCCCTACAGCACGTCAACCAAACTAGTAGCCCCCCCTGTAATTAAAACTGAAAGGTCGTCTAGCTTAGCTCTTTGCTCTGCAACTTCGCCCCGCCAAGTCGTTTCAACCAGCATTCCACATATCATGTTCACGAATGTACCTGTGAAAGTGCCGAAATCGCCCAATGTTCTTGACAAACGACAGTTCCAGGTCCCGGCCCAAGCTCGCCAAGACCGATGCAAGTGTTTGGTCCACGAATGACTCGCTGAATTCGACGGTGCCGGGCCCCACGACCTGGGCCATCACGACGTCCAGCGAAGCGTCCAGCACTGCGTCAGCCATCGCCGCTTCCACTCGTGCAGTGGCCTCCATAATCATGCGATGGACCCGCCGCGGCCGCGTGACTTTGCGACAGGTCCTATACACATGCCAATATGGTGTCAATACCCATTTTTTGCTAGGCATGGTGCGGTGTGAACGGTTTAGAAATCGCCATGATAGATAAAGGTTTATGACAATGTAACCAACCAGCGCAATCTTGAGTGGGTTTGCAGGACTAGAGGCTGGGACACGATGTGCATGGGGTGGTCGCAGTACACGCGCTGCGTTGGAATGTGGCGGTAGCTACGACCATATTGATTTAAGATGAATCCAAGCTACGTGAGTCCCATATTGGGAGCATTATGTAGGTAAACACAGTGAGAACGCCCTGGCAGTTTGACATAGTCTGTACCAAGTAATGGACGGAGTCTTGTGATGTTCCCATAGTTCGCTGCTTTCAGCCCACAACGTTGCTAACTTGTCCACTCGCAACGGAAGGCGCGACTGCACATACGATTCAATGGATGTGAGCCCCCCAGGTTCGTCCCATACAGTCCACGGCACTTGCCAGCATCGTGTAGACTTGTTTAGTGACGACGCAACGAGGTTATGGGAATGTCTAAGTACTTTTAGTGATCGCATATAAAAAATGGGTGGCTAAGAGTTGACGTGTGGAGTACCGAAGGAACTGAAAGGTCGTGGGTCGTACGAGCGACGCCTTGGAACTTGCATGGAGCCAGTGAGTTTGGACGGCTTGGAGTGCGGACGGCAGAAACTGGCGGTTGATACCCAAAAGGACATCGCCCACGGTCACGTGGGGGTGCATTGAGCTGTGGACAACTACAATCCCTCGCGATACGGACTTGGACAACAGCGACACGGCAGGAAGTCCCCCTCGAGGCTGCCACCGCACCTGTCGACTAGCTTGAGATACGGACATACATGAATGACTCATACCTCAAACGACCACGGGGCCGGGGCCACCACGCGAATGTCGTACAGCATGTGACGGGCGTTCTCTCGAAGGTTGAAATGGGAAGGCAACTCTGATGCGACTTTTATTCCAAAGCAAGACGAAGAAGTAGGAGGAGGACCGACGACGTACGGGGAAGGTGCAGCTCGCGCTCCAACGCTTCGCCAAACACGATATCGCACAGGTGGTGCCACAGTCGGTCCATTGTTGCATTCACCACCTGAAACGGGTAAGCCATTTGTTGTCTCATAGTGTCATTGTGGCGACGGAGAATTGTAAAGGACCTGGTCGATCAGGTGCTGCGAAGTTCCAAGGGCTTGGGTTTCCATGCACGCCAAGAACGCTTGAATGGACGGTACGGCAGCCACTACCTTTTCGGGAAACCACGACCGCAGGTCCTCCAGCATGGGGGCTGCAAACAGCTGACCGCGGTCACTGCAGTACCACGTTGTTTCTTGCCACGCTCTCTGCTCCAGGGATTGGCCGGGCGGCGACCTCGTCGAACTCAATGCTGCGCTCGCGTCGGCGTAATCGTGCCTACGTCATACATGTATCACGGATTGTTCAGTCTGTATACATAAATGGCGTGCGTAGGTACCGTGCAAAGAGGAGAATGCTGGGATGGGCGTCGGAGGCCGTCGTTGTAGCGTCGTCTAGGGCGGTCCACACGACGGACGAAGTGGGGGATGCGGTCAGTTCTACCCCATTGATGGCTACGAGGATATTGCCGCGCCGCACAGCATTCAACCCTACAAATGGTCCGTCCATTGGACAAGACGATACTTTGGCCACGACGATCGAGCCAACGTCCGTAGATGTTGCGGCCAACGGACGCATCGTTCCATCCGAAATGACCATCGCAAACTACAGTGCCGGTAGAGGAAGCTAGCCAACATTGTCACGTTAAAGCGACGATACCAACCTCCAGGTTCCAGAACGCTGCCGCCGTGGAAACCCTGGCCCATCCCTCAGTCAAACGTACGGGATACAGCGCGTGCGGGTCGACCACCATCGCAGCAAGGCGACGACGTGAAACCGTCGACGGTTTCACTTATTCGTGCTCGCTTAATTATTGATGCGAATTGGCAAAGAGGTGCCATACCTCAGCGTGTTTTGGGGTATTGTAGCGAATGATGCCGTTGTATAGCAGGAGGATTGAAGGGGCTTCAAGTGATTTATGTATTATTTCAAGGGTGCTGGGGAATAAAGTGGGTAACGTTATTATGACACGAAGGCGAATGGGGTGACACGACAAGCAGTTACACTTGCGCGAATGGTTACGCTCAAGGTGGTAGCACGGCGCCGCGCCAAACAAGAGCAGCTGCGACCTGCCCTAGATCAGCGGCAAGCAGAACCAGCGAGCCCTTTGGGGCAAATGCACGCCCAAGCTCTAGCCATGCATGATCAAAAGCACCAGCCCTTGCACAACCTTCAACGAAGCGATGACGATGACGAGTGCATCACGTCCTCTGGGCATGTGCTGTTGGAAATGCAGGCAAGTAACACGCATCGATATCACATTGTACATCTTCTGTGAATCGCTCCCTTACGTAGACGGATGAATCCATTATCGCTATGAACCAGCGACTTATCCGAGAGGTATGTACCACATAGGACAGGCTCTTCTAGTCATATGAAAAAAACTACCTCGTGATTCTATAGCGCAATGCTCTGATGCAGGAAAAGGAAGTGTGGCAATCGCAGCTTCAAAACCAACATATAAATCTCCAGGAAGTGTTGCATGCCACACGTTTGTTAAAGCTCAAGATCCAACACTACCAAGCCCCTGTAGTCGACACCCTCGTGCCATCGCCCACATCGAGTTAATTCAACGTTATATATAAATAACATTCTGAATGGCGCTAAAAATAGCCTACACCACCATTCGTACTGGTTCCAGTGCACTTGTGCTTATCGTTGTGGTTCCAGTGCTTTCAGTGCACTTGTTCGTATCGCCTCTTGACATGCACATCCTAAAGAAGTCCTTGACCAAGAGGGAGAGTGCGGTCGCCTCGACGGATAGCACCTCCCTACCGCCGCCACCGCCCAACAAGGGGTCCTCGGCAAAGTCCGAAGCTCTCACCGGAAATGCTGCCTCCAATGGGGAAGCGTCCCCCGGGACTCAAATCCGCCACGGCTCGGTGGTGCTGGACACGCGTATGTCGGACAACATCTTCGACCACATCCTCGGACGGGGCCGGGCCATCGACATGATGGACTCGTCCGACGACAAGAAATCCACGACGACGCCAAGCCACGCCAGTGCTCGGTTTAGCACCATGGATTCCAACGTCGAGTACTGGGACAAGGACGGCATCCACCGCCGGTCGAGCACGATCACACGACGTATGAACTTACGGGGGATGAGCATCCCCCATGCTGTCGACCCACTGACCTTCGTGGATACCGCCGCCGCCGACGATGATCCGGCCGGAGAAGCAACTCCTTCCCGACCCCCGTCTCCGTCCCGCCAAGACATTGACGGCGTGTCCAAAGCCCAGTTGGCCTCGAAACAAACCCATATCCAGGCTGTGGACGCCGCCCTTCAGCGGTCGCTCGCCCAGGCGTACAAGCCCCCGCCATTGTCCAAACTAGCGCTCGCGGGTTCCCAGCATACTGCCAACGCCCCGTCCAAACTTCTGCAGTATGTACTATGAATCATCTACTTGTTTCTATTTCATATATGGGGGGACGTTTTCCTAGATATGTGGACGCGGACGGGAACGTTCGTCGCATGCGGCGAGGCGGTCACGACACGCCGCGGAGTGAGCCCCCGCCGACTCCCCCCACCCCTGCCTCATAACTAGTATTATTACTACTAGTAGTATGAGATATATCCCAACAGAAGCAACATATATTGCAAAACAATGAACGTCGAAGTAGTACTAAGTAGTATTCAACTCTAACGAATGGAATTCCCGTCGGGAACATCGATACGTCCAGAGATCTGTCTTTCTACGGCGCAAAATTCCATTGGTGTGTAATTTCTTGCATACGTCGCGCCAGTCCATTCATTCATGGCCCTACTACTTGAAAATAGATTTGTTGTCTTCTTCGTGGATGGTTAAATCTGCATTTGGTTGCGCTCGTGGGCGTTTTTCGCCGTGCGCTCCATCACAACTCGGATGTTGCTCATGGACGTTTGCAGGACCGACCATTCCTTCAAGCTGAGCGCCTTTTCCCCCGTTAAATAGTTGGCTTCGCGGTACACGACTTTGGCGGGGGTGTCGGCGTTGGTTTGGTCGGATTTAAGCTCTTGGGTTTCGTGGTCAGACGAGTCGTCGCCGCTGCTGACCAAGTCGTCGGGGTCCAGGGGTGGCAAGGCATACGGATCGCTGGACGAGGTCGTGAGGTGTTTGCGGGGGGTCGTTGTCGACACTAATGGCAGGGGGGGGTGGAATGGCTTTTCAAATGTCTAGTCAACATCCCTAGTGATTAGTAGGGAACACGGAGGAGTTGTGAACAGTACCGGATCCCACGTCACGTCTTGGACGATTTGTTCGCAGAATCGACAGATCGGCACCTCGTCGTAGCACTTTGGGGGGCGGTATTTGGCGCTCTCCCGGTCCAGGGGAACATGCCCCCACCGCACATATAGCTCCATGATGCATCGAAAGCTCACTTTTGCAGGTAAGTTGATTGACAAGTGGGAAAGGTGGCATAATCCGCAGTCTCGTCGTTTGGTGTTGCCATACCTATAGGAATACCCAATCAGATATACCAAGGGCGACGGTTCCAGCTGCCAACGTTATTATGTACCGCTCCTTTTCTAACGCGCGAATGTAGGGCGTTGACGTGCCGGGAACGGCAGTGCCGTCCAGGTTCGTACTGCCCACAGGAGATGCAAATGGATGGCCAGGAAGGGCCGCCGGCAGTACTTTGGCCATAATTTTAACCTGTTTGTCCTGAAACTGCGCCTCGAACCGCATCTCTCGCATCCCCCGCTCGACGGATTTGATGGTTGTGGCCGTTCGTTTCCAGTCGGCTTGGTCGAATTTCAGCTTGGGTAGGGGGCCGACGTCGTCTTTGCTGGCGGTCGACGACGAGGTCATGGGGGGCATGTCCATCGTCGCTCGAGCATTGGCACGTTGTTGCTGGAGGAGTTGTTTGTCTTTGGTTTGTTGCTTGGTCTGTTTCCGACGAAGAACGGGGGACGTCGCTGTTGTTAGTGGTTCTTGGTTGTTGTGGGGCAATAAGTGGGGTTCGGGTGGTGGCGATGTGATGATGCTACCGGACGACGACGGAGACGGTTGTTGGCTTGGTCGTTTTTTCAACGGACTTTGCGCCGAGTGGAACGCATCCATGAGGGAAAACGTGGCTTTCTTGGGAAATAACGTCATCGAGCCTACAACAACGCTCCCATGACACACCAGTGTTGACAGAGAAGGATCGACTCGTACGTTTCCGAGCCGGAGACGCCGACACGAGCACACTAATTGCCGATTGACCGGTGGTTTTGAGGTCGTATGTGTCGTGAAAATGCAATAAAAACTCCACCATGCACTCAGCCACGCTCCACTCTGCGTGGTCCCCGCGTATGGATGCCAGGAACGGCCGAAACCTGCACGAGAGCATCAATCGCATGTCCACATATAACGGTTTTGGCCCGTACCTGTCGTACATGGTCATCCATGTATCCGCGGACGGATGTGGCCGCTTCATCTAGTGTATAATGTATTCATGAGGTAAATGGAAGGGCGAAACGAGATTGTAAAGATGAATGTACGTGGTCCAAGTCCACTTTGAAAGCGTGCATGCAATGCACAAACTGGTGCTGCTTGAGAAAGTCCTCGACCACGAGCAACGTAAAGTCATACAGGAGACCAACACCAGAAGGGGGGGATTCGGGGGGAGGGTGGACCGAAGGGGGGGCGGCTAGCGAGTCGTCCCATTGCAGCGTCGTCGGCATCCTTGGCTCCACTTATGTACGGCGTTTCAAAGTGAAACGCTTGGCCGTTTCAAATTCACCCAAGTACTGAACCCTGGTCGAACAACCCCAGAAATTCTGATGCGACTTGGTAGATATAATAATAATCATGACCGAGATTGCCACGCTTCACTACGTGATGCACAAGAACGTCAAGAGACCTGGCCCTGGGCCGTCCCATGAGCATGGACGGACGCCTTTGCCAAGTAATTCGGCGGGCAGTTTGCAGTCAAAGGGCCCCCGACGTTTCACGAGCTATTCCCTCCTCGCGCCACGCGTCGACTGCACGTCGCCGGCAAGTTGTATTGACGAACCAACGACCGCGTCGAGTATCCGTAGTTCGCCATTCGATTGGAACGATTCTAAACAATTTTCCCCGGACTTTTGTGGTGAACATTTTTACTGTTAACGTTAGTCGACGTTGTGCTTGTGGTATAATGGTGTCTCGTTGTATGAGTATCGATCGCCCTTTGTGGTCGACATGTTGTACCGACTGGTGGAAAACAGAGAGCTGGGGAAAGCTTGGGACAACCCCCTCATGAAGCGACCGCTGACAGACGCAGAACTCAAAGCAGCTGTGACAGACTTCTTACTCAGGCGACTCATGTTGTCGGACGCATCAAACATCATCATCCAAACGGCAATGATATGTGGACAAGTCGTTTGGGGACGAGTACGACACAATCGTACGCGACCCCCCAACGGTTCGTTTGGAGACTCTCATGCAAGCCATCGAATGAAAGGGCACCCCCGTTTGGTCGCCCAAACCAAACGAGTTGCTGGTTGCACCCCCATTATTGCTAGCATCGAGACAGCTACATCCCCCTATGTGGAAGAGATATAGGTGCAGCGGCAGTCGGGCGTAGTAGCAGCACGAGTGCTCAAGGCTGGTGGTAATAGTCCCCAAAGCAAGATGTGAAAGCACGGCCGAAAGGGGGAGGAGGCAAACCAAATAAGTCTGCTGCACCAAACCCCACCCCTTAACAACTGCCGAGCTGTCCAAGCTAATACCGGTAATGCCAATTTCGACCTCCCAGTCAAAACCGTACAAGGTACAGTCCAGAAGACCAGTGGCGGACTTGAAGTAATTTTGCCCATGCGAATTGATTACGACTCGGACACTTTTATACATACAACGTATCTACAGTAAGTAGCACACTCGACTACAATACTATGTACCTAGGTGAGTAGGTAGTAGTACTTCTAACACTCAGCGAACCATCCTTGCAACGGTTAGTCGTGAGGGAACGCGTATACCACACTGTTTGAACTGAAGACAATGGAAGAATGTTTTCTACTTTCAGAGAGTCCTGTTATGTGAAGTTACTCGATCGAACGACAGACAGTTGGCTGCAAGAGCCAGCCAGCGGCGGCGTCCATGTGGCATCGTCCACACACACACACATGGGGGTGGTGTTAGTCACGCTTAGTTGCCTTCGGATTGGAACTTGTACGTGACGTGGCACTTGCCGCAGTAGTGGCGATCGAAATGGGTGGCCATGAACACGCCGGCGCCGCACTCAGGGGCCGGGCACTCCTTTTTCAGGCGCTTGATCTTGCCGTTGTCGTCCACCTTGTAGAACTTGAGCACTGCGAGTTTGACCTTCTTGTGCTTGTGCTTGATCTTTTTGGGCTTGGTGTAGTTCTTCTTTTTGCGCTTCTTGCCCCCACCACGCAGGCGGAGCACGAGGTGCAACGTCGATTCCTTTTGGATGTTGTAGTCACTCAACGTGCGGCCGTCTTCCAATTGCTTGCCGGCAAAGATGAGGCGTTGCTGGTCCGGGGGAATCCCTTCCTTGTCCTGGATCTTTTGCTTCACGTTGTCGATCGAGTCGGATGGTTCCACATCCAACGTGATGGTTTTCCCCGTCAACGTCTTGACGAAGATTTGCATGGTCCTAAACGCAGACACGAATCGTGTGTGTCAGGTGCAAGTTCACATAACTACGGAGCGCATCATGCCAAAGCACAACGCAGTCCGATCCTCATTACACAAACAAGCACTACGCACCTCGCTGAAAGTAGTCAAGTGCGAGGCAACAATAACCTGCCAGCCAAACAAACATGCATCTGGCTGGTGGCCAACCACTGGAAACGCACCAATCACAAGCTACATGTTGGAAATTCAACCAATCATGGCGGCATAAACTTTATACTGTGAAATTGGATATTATTTGTTTGGGTGGTGGCATCATCCATTATGGAAGGGAGTGTTGTCTTACAGTTAGTTCATTATTGCAGACTTTCGACAATATAATGTTTTTTTACGTGTTTTGAAATACTTGCAAAAGTCATGGGGTAAATTCGTCAAAATAGTGAAATATATTGCGATTTTGTTTGGAAATTCAAACAACGACTCGTGATTGGAGGAAATACAATTTGGCCAAGATGGGCCGCGTCAACCCGATGGAAAGTGCCGCCGCTGCCGCCGGCGAAAGCGAGGCCAAGCGGACTCAAATCATGCGTGCGATTCTTCAGAAGGCGTTAGATGCATCGGTCCACAAAGCAAGTCTCATCGACATGTCGTCCCCTGAGCTCGAGTCCAACGGACTCCAGGTGATACTTGGAATTCGACAGCGGATCGAGGTACGCACCCTCCCTCTTGGCAGTCATGGTTGCGTTGTACATGATCGATGGATATGCTAGGCTCAATTCGACGTACTTTGTACAAAGCACGACTTGAACGCCAAGTTCCTCGAACTTGAAAGACTATTGGAATGGCATGAAAAGTCTCAACTCGGTCAAGTAGTTGGACTCACTGCACCGTGCGACTCATCTCTCGTCTACCAACGACGTATATTCCACAAGATGTATTGACGAGCATATGCATGTTGACATAGGTTGGAGATTTCGGCTCCGTTGACGACACCCCAACAACTCTTGCACAAGGAACGTATGCGGCTGATGCTGCAAGAAAAGGCGCGGTTGCAGCAGCAATTGCAACAAGTATGTAAACTCAGCGTAAGACATGTGTAAAATAGTTCTTATTTGTGGTGCATAGGTACACGATACCAATGCGATACTCGAAGCGTCGGTGCATGACATCCACGCGAAAAGCACGACCATGCTCGCAGACATCGAGGAGCGCTTGAATGCCTTAAGCTCAATATGAATAGCATGCACGTCCATCCTTTCTCATTAATGTAGTGATGTTGAATATGTGGGTGTCGTACGTACCATCATCACATGGCGAGCCCACGAAGTCTGTCGCGTGCGATTGCATGCGCAGGATCAAGGGGCGCGGAACGGCATGCCGCGGTGCACACACATATCACTCAATTGACTCTCCCCCGCAAAGCATACCCCCATCATGATCATGATCGAGCTTGGGCAAATTTGAAAATGAAATGTTCGAGAAACGTGGTGTAATGGTGTATCCGGACAAGATCGATGCTTCCGGATACGACAGGCGCGCTCGCCGCCACAGTATTCATCTCGACCGAAATGAGCAGCACCACCAAGACCAAGGCCGAAGCGAAGAAGAAGTATGTGTCCAACTGGAATGAATGAGCGAAGCCGATGGAGGCTGCACTCGCATTATGAAAACTTGCGGAAGATGGCGCTATATGGACATGACACTGACGTAGTGATGACGTTGTAGCGAAGGCAACGAGTTCTTCAAGAAGGGCAAGTTCGCGGAAGCCATCGAAAAGTACTCGGACGCGATTACGTTGGACCCTACCAACCACGTGTACTACTCCAACCGAAGCGCGGCGTTCCTCGGCCAACTTCACTACCAAGACGCGGCGGACGATGGCGAAAAGTGTGTCACGTTGAACCCTCAATTCGTCAAAGGTACACACACACACACACGCAAAGCCATTTCCATGCATTGGCGTACATAGCTGATGGAATTCGTGGTAGGATACCATCGTTATGCGTTGGGGTTGAAGGGCATCAAGCAGTATGCGAAAGCTCTCGAAGTGTTGAAGGCCGGCCAAAAGGTCGACTTTGACAACAAGGACTTGAACCGCCTCATCAACGAGGTACTAGTGTGCCCTTCTTCATGCAGCCTTGGACGATCGCCTGACGATCGTTTAGATCGAACCGTTGCTGGCCAAGGTGGAGCACGCTCGTCGCTCGGGGTTAAACCCGTCGGAGCAGCTCAAGGAGCAAGGTACACACACCCTCAGCGATACTGTTATCATCATGGTGATTGATAGGAAACGACTTGTTCAAGGCCGCGTCGTTCGAAAAGGCCATCGAAGTGTACGGGGAAGCGATCAACGCATGTGAAAAGGACAACTCGCCCGTGGCCATCTCGTGCTACAACAACCGCGCCGCGTGCCACCAGCAACTGAGCAACTTTTCCGCCGTCATCCGCGACTGCTCGCACGTGTTGGAGTACGACGTACGTCCCAACTAAAAAACGCATCTATATACATCATTCCATGGTAGATTGGTTGGCCACGCTACGATGAATATATATTGTTATAAGATTTTTATCGATATATTTTATTCTGCTCAATTGATGATATTTATGAATCCCATAAACGTTAGCCGGAGAACCAAAAGGCGTTGTTGCGACGCGGACTCGCGTATGAAGGCCTCGAGCGGTACCGTCTGGCGCTGCAGGACATTCGCGCTGTGCTGGCGCTGAACCCGTCAATTGACGTACGTACATATATATATATACATCGCATGATGCATATACGAGTTAACGACACATTTCTATGGTGTTTGGTAGATTGCCAACAAGGCGCAGCATCGTCTTGGCGCCGCCGTGCGTTCCCTCAAAGAAGATAAGTAAATGCTACCGTGGTGCGTTCGATCCATGTGCTTGCATGTAAGACACTCAAGAACAACCCTGGCAAGTAATTCACTTTCTCGAGATGATAGTGGTACTCGTGTAAGCATATCAACAACACACACATGTGTAAGCAATATTGTCAAATCGATTCGAGCCTTCAGCAGAATCAAATGTGTCTTGGGAGAATCGATTAAAGAACCGCCTGAGCTAATCAAATCACGCCATGTCGAATATATTCTGCCAATCCAAACGTTTGACCCTTCTGCATTATTGGGCAAAACCACATATATACTAATCGTTGTAAAGTATAGTGTTTACAAGATTAAATAGGATCAAGCGGAATGACCAATAACGTTATCGAAATTGTTGCTGTCCAATTTAAGGTGCACACGAATTAGCCAATCAATACCTAGAAAGGTAGTTTTAAACCTACCCGCCCAAAAAATATGCAAATGGGTATACAAAGACTAAGCTTAAAATGGTGCACCTTAAATTGGACCGCTTGTTTTAAGCTGTTTGTGGACAAAGTGGAGTGAATTATAACAGAAATCATATCATAACTCCCAACTGCCCCCCCCGTACGTCGTTCAATTTGACGTGGGCTCAGTAAGACGTCGGACATATCTCGGTACAGTCGCTCCCCCCCACAACAGCATGCACGACACCCATGAACAACGTGTACGAGCCGCCCACAGAACCGCTCTTATACTCGCACCACGCAACCATCGATGCCCTCCACATCATCTACCACAAGTGCCGAGTCAACCTGTCGGACGTCCAGCACCGCGGCGTTCCAAGGCTGAGTCGCCCCTGTCGGCCACGTCCGTCGTCATCATGCGCGCGGGGGTCAAAGGCATCCCTGCGACGAGCCCAGCGTCAAGGATATCTCCCACCCTGTACTACGCCAGCTCACTCAACACAGCTAAGCGACCTCTTCCCCAACTGCACGCGTCTGGCATCCTCCGAATCGGCGCCTGCAAGCTGCCAACAGCACCACCATCGACGCATCCTCCTTGAGCCACATGGTGGCCCCCCTCAACAGCCACCACGCATACATGTAAGTGCGTCCGACGTGTAGGCCATCCACTCGTCCGGCTGCCTTCGGTAGAATTGCCTTCAGCGCACTGCTCGTCCATCTAGCGGCGATCCCCCGGCCGACGATTTTGTGCGAGTGGACGTTCGAGTTTTTGCACAACGGCATCATTGACCCGTCCCCTGGTCTCTGGATCTTGGCGTTCGACGACGATTGGCTCCACCTGCTTGGATGCCACGGTGCAGCTTGCTTTCCAGCGTGCTTGTGACTGGAACCGACGTGGAGCATCCCGCTGGTCCAGCTGGCGGCATCTGACGGCTACGACTCGCCGAGCGTTGAGCTTCTGCTGCTGTATTGGTGTTCTTTCTTCGCGTACAGTTCCACGCATGAACATGGAGACTGCATTGGCATGCGACGTGTTCTTGTTGCACTGCCGCTGTACAAGGATGGGGCAACGTTGGTACTAAGCTTAACAGTAAGGACATACAGCTGAGACTAAGGAATTCTACAGCTGTATAGTACGAGCTTTTTATCGTCGAAACGCAAAAAGAAATAACTTTGATTTCTAGTATGATTGGACATTTGAGGAGTTCTTGACCATCCGAGCGGGTTATGTACTGTCACCCGCTAGGATACAGTTACAGAGAACCTCGACCCCCTAAAAAACCCGCCGTGTCAGCCCTCGCGGAGGAATGCCTTAACGTTAAACAAATCATAATCCAAACTCAATTAACCTAAAAAACACGGCCACCTCTAAGATCCGATAGGGGGATAGCTCAGTGGTAACGTTAGTGCATCGGTTCATAACTCAAAGGTCGAGGGTTCGATCCTCGGCTTCCCCAGATTATTTCCGCAAGGATTTATCCGTCCCTCCTCTGGGGAATCCGGATAACAAGGGAGTCGAGGACCGAACTTCGAAGAAGCTCGGATGAAGCACAAGGTATGAAGCGTTGAGCGAAGTTACAATTGTCGAAGCGGTTCCATAACATGTGGTTCTACAGGGTCGACAGTGTCAAGTTGTGCATTCTGCCAACCCTCTGTAAGTGCAGTTTCACATCTCAACATGAAAAATGTTCACATCAAAATGAAACGTTAAACTTACTTCAACTATAGTATAGTGACCATAAGGTGATGAATTATACTACCCTTCAGTATACAATAGTGATTCAATCATCATGTCTACCCTCCCTCACCCATCTTCCTCCTTTATCCAAATCATACACCAGAATATATATGAAACAAAGTATGTTTCAAGTTGAATGTTAGAAAATTCATGTTGATTTGAAAATCGTCGTGTTTCGAACGTGTTCATTTCACATTGACTGGAAATTCATTTCAACTTGAACGGGAAGTGGTGTAGTCTATCCGTCTCAGTCTCCTACCCATCATGGGCGCATAAAACACTCACAAAACGGACGGTGACTCTCAAGATCTGGCCTATCACAACCCACCACGTTGTACATCTATCCAATCACATCTCATCACGTCCCCGAATATAGACCAGTAGTTAAACGGGCTTTGAAATCCCACCTCTAATCTCACTTCTGGTTTTACCGGCTCTTACACAAGTGATCTGTTTCGTTGCTTGACAACCCCGGAACACCTGCGCCAGTGCTTCTTTCTTCTCTGCCATCCGTCTACTCTTTCAGTCTCTTCACTGACAGTATCGGCCCTCGCGGAGGAATGTCATAAAACAAATGATAACGTTACATGTAATCCAAACTCACAGTCAATTGATCTAAGATCCGATATGTCAAGTGGAGGGAAAAGAGGTGGATGCCAAAGGCATGTAGAAAAGGGGTCGAGGAAGGTAACCTCGGGGCCTAAACAGGGACGCTAGGCCAAGCGTCCCGGCCATAATAAACACAAAGAGGAAGACGTGGGCTCACAAAGCAGGGACAAGAAGTGAGCAGCTAGACCAATAACAAGCTTATGCATGCCTGTGATTGGTGGAGAACCACTGGTGCCAGAGGCAGGAGGGGCGCAGGACGGGAGACACAGGAGAGGGCTGGTAAGTTGCCATCTCGTGACACGATACTAGTATACTAGTATCTATATTCTCATGGATCTTTCTTGTAAAATCAGATACAATAGCACAGCTGTATTGTTACAGTTCGTAGCCTGTGGGCTTCCAAATGGCTCTAATACTGTACTCCAACAACCAAGAATCAGGGAGCTGATAACGTTAAACTAATTATAACTCCAACAATTATATTATCTTATCGCACTAGATATTACTTTGACTACAGTAGTATACGTCACTTCATCCACATGCTATCCACAAGTCAGTCATCGACAAGTCCTTGGATGACTTGAGGGATGAAAAGCCTTGCAGTTCGCCCCGAGCTCCCGGGAGGCCATCTGCGCTAGCGCGGCCGTACGAGAGCGCGGATCTAAGCACCGAATTACATATTCTTTCATAGTACTTACTGTATTTATAATCAGTACAGGACTACCGGTAATATATACTAACTTTCTACGTAGTACTTCGAAGTACGAAGTTTAGACGATTACTACGTATATGCAAATCGATCGAAGTACGTTTTAACAACTTCGACGTTCACCCATTATTGCAATCTATACCGTCGTCCGCGATGGTGTCGCCTGACAGCCGACGTGGCGTGCTGCGGCTGGCGTTGACTGTTTCCGGTCTGCTATTGTTTGGCATCTTCGCGTACACCACTGAGTCCTCATGGTCATATCTGAACGCCGTCCTTCTTCCCACACGTACCCACGTTCCCCACGTTCCATCGATCCCGACGATACCCACGACCGGCGGCGACCCTCCCTTCGAGAGCGTAGGGATCGTCACGTACATCCCCGACGGCCATATCAAGTTCATCAACCAAGCTCATCACATGTTGTGGTCTTCGTGGCGCTATGCAACGTCTCATGTGGACCGAGCGTCGCGCGGGCGGACCGACCTCATCCTGTTCGCGCACCGCAACGTGATCAGTCAAATGCCCGACGAATGCACACTTCTGGACGTCACGGACGCCGCCGCGGTGGAAGCCACCCGGACCCACGTCGCCGACCAATGCTATGTCGTTGAACGAACGCCTCCTGCCGACGACTACTGGTTCCGGTACTCGTTCATGTTTAGCCTGTCGTACTTGGCGGAACCGGCCTTCCATACACTTCTGATGGACTACGACCGTCTGCTCCGCTCTGACTCGGACGTGGTGATTACGCCGGCATTCCTGAGCTTCCGACCACCCCAATTCGTCGTGGGCAGGGGCGGTTACATGGACGAAGACTTTACGAGGCATCGCATCCACAAGCTTGCATTGGACTTGAATATGACCCACCAAGGCCTGTACAACGTCGGCTCGACTTGGTTTGGCAACTCGACGGTATACATCTTGTGCATTTACCCTCTTTTTTGTGCTGACTCGCCAAATCCAATGATCGATTCATCATTCATTGTATTGTCGTTTTACCCCAAATTTGATTGACTTTTGTGCTGATTTGCCAAATCTATCGATCGATTCTTTATATGGACGTTTGTATGTTAAAGACGCCCACACTAATTGAAGTCACACACCAATGGTCGACGAGTGGATTTGATTGGCTACTTGATTAGTGATCTGGGTTTTGATTGGTCGATCGATTGTCTGCCGATTTGGTGCTGCTCATTTTTCGATTGATTGTTGAGCCATCCCACTCCAATTTCGAGTCGAGCTTGACAATACTGAATGTTGGATGGAAACCGTGGTGCGGTATCACACTAATTGAAGTCATACACTAATTTGACGTTGAGTGCAATCAGAAATCTGCTTGGCGATCCAATTCCTTCTTCTGTACATTTATTTGATACTTTTGGATTCATCGCTTTTTTATTCTCTTCATGTCGTTATATAAACACACCCAATTGTCATATATATATATATGCATACGCCTTTAGTTGATAATAACGCGTCGTGTTCGTGGTGGTGTTGATTAGTTGGTCCTGACAATGACCCCCAAGATGCTCCAAGTCGCCCAGTTCATTCTCGAAAGCCCCATCTATGGCGAGGAAATGGGGTTCCCCAAATGGCATCCTGGCGTAACCTCCATGTACGCTGGGGAATTGGTCGTGAATCACTTTATACCCAATGACAATGTGTGGGTTAATTCCGAGAGTTTGGACATCAACTGCAACGGACACGAAAGGACAGCAGACGTGTATCATAGCCACTGCTGGCCAGGTAGTTAGTTGGTTTGTCTTGTACTTGTTGTGGTATTTGTACCCATCTGTGGGCTTTCTAGGCGACCAGTATCCCGGGTACTTTAACAAGTGGGCGTACGAGCGCGGCGAATACACAGTCGACAAATTCCCGCGGCAAACGCTCAATATTTCCGTGATCAACGACTACTTTATGGCCATGGTGCTGTACGGAGCCTAGAGCATGCTGTATGTGTGCAATATAGACCCGTACGCAAGAACGCTGAGATACAGATACAGTAATGCATTGCGTACAGGAAAAACACAAATACAGATGCCACGTCGATGCATTATTATAAAAATGCATGGAAACAATCTGGCTACCGTGGATACGTATTGTAATAGGAACGAGCCACAGATTTTGTAACTTTACTGCAATTCGTATACTGTGCATAGTATTAATAACGTGGGGCACCAGTCATCAGCGTCGCTCTTTGCTTACTTAGTTCTCCGATTTCTCGTTGACATATTGAAGTGATACTTATATCAAAATATCCGCAAGATTCAGCTCATCAATTGAGGTCCAAAGGATATCAATTTAAATAGTAAACACGTGCGTACGGATTTTCAAAAGTAGCGTTTTTTGTAGGGCACCAGTTATCGGCGCACGTTTTAGACTTGTGTAATGTATTGATATGAATTCTCCAAACTCTACCGTATACCTTATGGATCTGTACCCCCAAAAATGTCAGTAAAATCTGATCGAAATGGATACGATGGTCTGATTTCTTTCCAGTGCGTTCGGATTGGTTACTTCGTCTACTTTGACTTGTTTAATTGGCTAGTACGCGATAATTGGATTGTTTTGACCAATATAAAGCGACTTGGGTACAGCACCAAATCGTACTTTATTGACACCATACAGCAATTTGGGTACAACTCGATAAGGCAAAATCATGGGTACTGACTGATCCATAAGGTATACCGTGGGATGCACTGTCATCATATTAGCTATCAAAGGAGTATGTGTTTAGAATGGGTATTATTGTTACAGTATGGATTTCTGATAGAATTTATCAGGGGCACTAATTCTTGAAGAACTATATTATGACCAATAAGATGTTTTCGGGCATTCTATTAACTCCCAACAGTGCTGAAGACTGACGTCTTAGCCGATGACTAATGCCCTAACGTTACGTTAACGTGTCCGACCATTGATGGGCCGAACGACCATTGATGGGCCGAACGACCATTGATGGGCCGACTTATTTCATCCAATTAAAACGCCAATCTACTCTGATTGGACAAAAGGCAACCTCTCGACAAATTTAACCTGCATGAATAAATGGAGGGGAAAATATTACATATTAAAGGTTCTTCAATTTATGAACCGACGAAATGCCGCCAAGAACGCAGGTCACCATGGACAAGGCCGTCCACGATGTGTTAAGCAAGTACACACGGCATCAACTGCTGCGGAGGCCTATGGCGTTCCATCGCGGACGCTTCGGAAGCATTCGGCAAAAGCTGACCCCGGCGTCATCGAAATACAAACATCTTTCAAGGAAGCCGTGACGGTTAGTGGTAAGGGCAGTTAATAAATTAAATGTTATTATTGTTTATGCTAAATGTTGTTATTGTTCGAAGTTAAAAGATACAAGAAAAAGATACTTTTTTTTGGTTAACGTTATACTAACTGTTATGATTTATGCTATATTCAGATTCCTTAGGCACCGTGCCCACCTCGAAGAATAATCTTCACTGGTTAACCTTTGCCCTGACCCAACCTACTCCCGTTGTAGAGGAGTTTTACAGTGTGAGGGTACGGAACGGACGCAGGCACACTTGGTGGTGACGAAACTTATGCCGCTGACACCCGCAATGGACACCAGAAGGAATATTGCTGAATGACACACAAACCAGGTTGTCCAAGTATCGTACAACGGGGTTTTGCGCATGCTCACCAACGTTTGCACAAACGTTTGTACAAACGAGCTATATTGCACAAACGAGTTACAATATGAGGTGTACATTATTCCACGTGTGCCAATAACATTGAAAATGTTATTTTCCAACTGAGATTCCAATACGTGATACCTGTTCAGATTTGGTAAACCTCTATTAATTGTAATTTCTCGCTGGATGAAAAAAAACTGACACCTGGATTCTTCATAATTAGTTCAAGTATAAAAGTTGGCCCATCAATGGTCGAATGTGTAAAGTGCTCGACTTCAAAAAAATCCTGTACATTCCTAAACTGTTTAAATCTATATCCTTCGAGTTATTCATAAAGTACTCATCATTACCTATCCGAAAATGTATCATTCCCACTCGGAAAACAAAAAACAACCGAAATAATTGAGATTAAAAATGAAGAAAAGTTGGCCCATCAATGGTCGGACACGTTAATATAAAAACTATTAAAAATATTATTAATACATAGTACTACTAGTACTACGTAGATATTCTGCCCTTTTTAAAACAGTTTCTACTTCGTAGTACTACTACTACGTAGTAGTACGAAGTAGTAACTGTTGTAAAAAGGGCAGCCGTTACATATTGAAGTCGAGGTGAGTAACTGCTGGATCGTGTCGTACTTCGATTGCGAATGGGTATCGGCAGTCGTCGCCGCCGCGGCCAAGCTGCAGCGTTTGTGGGTGTCATGGCCTTGCTTTTGTTGTGCTTCAACACCATTGGCGTGGAGTGGCAAGTGCTGCGAGTCCCCCAGACGTCGGCCCCTACTCCCGCGCTTTCTGGTCCAGCGATCATCGGAGTGGTTGCTGCCGTCGGTAGCTTGCGGAACGAAGCCGCGGAGACGGATCTTCGTGCTTCTCCATCCATTCCACCACCCACAACCTCGGCCATTGCTACTACGCCAGTGCCAAGAATCACTGTGATCCCATCAGTCGTTCCCATTTTCCCTGTTGAACCGACATCAACTCGTAACGCAACCAACGTCCTTTCGACCTCTGCCGTTCAAACCACGACAAGTACCGGTACAGCTCCGTCCACATTTGCGCTGGAAACAATAGACAACAACATGACCACACCCGTCCCCCTGTACGAGAGCGTGGCCATCGTCACCTTCGTCCCCGACGGTCATGTCAAGTTTATCGACCAAGCGCAGCACATGCTGTGGTCATCATGGCAGTTTGCCATTGGGCAAGTGCCCCGCCAACTCCGAGGTCGGACCGACTTGCTCGTCTTTGCTCATCGAAACGTGGTTGCTCGGCTGCCACCGTCGTGTGTTCGACTCGGTGACCCGTCGCTACTGCCCTCGACCCAATCGTCTCCCCCCTCCCACGACCGATGCTACATCGTCGAGCACACACCATCGGCAGACGCCTACTGGCACCGGTACAGCTTTATGTTTAGCTTGTCGTTTCTGGCCGAGCCAGCGTTTCAACCACTGCTTATGTCGTACGACCGACTGCTGCGCACCGACACGGACGTGGTAATTACGCCGGCGTTCCTGACGTTCCGACCTCGGCAATTTGTGGTCGGGCGAGGCGGGTACATGGTTGAAGAGTACACGAAATCGCGCATCCAAGAGCTTGCAATAGATCTCCACATGACCCACCAAGGCCTGTATAACGTCGGGTCGACCTGGTTTGGCAACACGTCGGTACAAAGTCCTACCCCAGCTGCAAGTCCATGATGGGTGGCGGATTGAGCCACTTTGTTTTGTGTAGACAGTACTCAGTATGGTGCCCAAGATGCTCGAAGTGGCCAAGTTCATTCTCGACAGTCCCAAGTATAACGTTGACCAAGGGTTTCCAAGGTGGCACATTGGCGTGACCTCCATGTATGCCGGGGAATTGGTCGTGAATCATTTTATACCCAAGGACAACGTGTGGGTCAATTCTGAGAGTTTGGACATCAACTGCAACAGCATTGAAAAGACAATCAACGTGTACCATAGCCACTGCTGGCCAGGTAGTTAGTTGGTTTGTCTTGTACTCGTTGGTGTGCTATTTTTTTGTACCCATATGTGGGCTTCTAGGTGACCAATACCCTGGCTACTTTAACAAGTGGGAATTCGAGCGCGGCGAATACACAGCCCAGCGATTTCCCCGCGACAATCTCGACTTGGCAGTTCTCAACGACTACTTTATGGCCATGGCACTGTATGGCAAGTAGTGTAACCTCCACATTAATATTGTACTATTAATAGTACAGCTGCAGTGCATTTGCTGACTATGATGGCTGCATTTTCGACGTGACCACAGCAACCAGATGAAAACACGCGAGGATGGCTGCGATGGATGGTGGAATTCACGTCCTATAAGTGTGTGCGGCGGTTCACTTGTCAACTTGACGAGCTTATCGTGGCAGTCTACGGCAGAGTCCTTATGCTAACACCCTCGACATGCAATATCAATTTGCTGCTCCACAAATGGAAACCGTTGACAACTCCACTGCTGCTAGTTTGAGTCAACAAAGGTTTACACATACAGCACTGCCATAACGGCACTGAAGAAGAACAAAGCTCCAGTAAAACAAGAATGGCCTTGCACTTTCGTGCTAATTTGACCACTTAATAACGTCTTTCAGTTCGGATGAAACGGCTGGCGCAACCTCAAGTAAGCCAATTGCATATGAAAGTGCCACTGGTGCCGGCGTTAGGCGTGGCCGTGGTGACGCTCTTGGCGGTGTCCCTGGCACTAGCGTGGCGCCTCCATCGTCTCACGCAGCTTCTCGTCGACCACCCTCGTGCAGTCGCTCATGCGGTCAGTCACCTCACCTTGTCCTATATATACACCATGGAGTTCAACCAAATGTTTCCTTTCACAGGTCGTGCCCCCTTCGACGCCCGCCACCACCCCTGGCTTTGCCTTGCCAGAATGGCGCCAAACGTTCAAACGGGCAGAGTACACATGTGTGGGGTGGCGCGACACTAGTACGACGACACTGAAAACCCTAGTACTACTAACAACTGCGTAGTGTACTACTAGTACTAGTTCTCGTCCTAACGTTGTGTCGGGTTGCGGGTGCGTAGGCAGTTGTGCTCTTGATGCCCCCCCAGTGGACGAGTTGCCATCCCACGATTGTTTCGCCACTATTTCCCCAGGTAACTTAACGTTGTCATGTAGATAGATAGCTCTTGACTCGATGCTCCTAGCTTTATTTAAGCGCGTTTTATGCGACTTGTGCAATGTAACTTGCATGTGTGGTGATGCTACTACTATGTAGGAAGCCCAGGGTATTGTGAAATCCAACACAAACAAACTGGGGCCATTCGAAGACTGTACACACAGTGCGACGGCATTCGAGTGCCATTTCGGTGCATCCAAGCTGGGTACAAAACAACACCATCACATTATCAAGACGACAACCGACCCATTCATAATTACTTCATCACTCCATATTTTTATATTTTTGGATATTATATTACGATATTAGGGACATTTGGGAGTATGCGGTGGACACAACGACGTACGTGTACTCCCACACCCCGTCCGTCCAGGCGCAAAACCTTCGCGGGTGGAACACAATGCGAGGCATCGTCATGAGCTTATACCCCCAAGCGCTAGCCAGTGGGTATGCCGCCATCCGACAGGTCAGTGTTTGCTTTGCTTGGTTTGACAATGACAAATGCAGCATCTACCGTATTCGTTATCTCGAAATCGATATGGCAGGCGGGTGCATATTTTTATACACACTGACGGCAATGGTGTAGCTCCGAGCAGTGGGATGCCTCCTTCCGATTGAAATTTGGATCGTGCAAGAAGAAGTCGTGGCGAGCGACCCGGTGCTGCGCGCCCTAACCACAAACGTACCTACATATTACCGTCGTTTCATAACTTCTTGTTTACGTCAGTGTCGTGGTTGAAAAATAGTTCAATTGCATGGTCCGATATGTCGAAGACCCGCTTGCGCGCAGATTCTTTGTCAAGCCTTATGCGATTTACCACAGGTAACCAATCCCCATAGCATGGTGATATGATATCCTAAATACGAAGTAACTAACAATTGTGGACATTCTAGTGTATTCGACCAGGTTTTGTTTCTCGATGCAGACAACTTTGCCGTCCGCGACCCGACCTACTTGTTTTCCCTGCCGGAATTTACTACCACAGGTTCGTTCTATACGCAAATAAAGAATGTGATTGCTATGTTCTATTAGTAGTATACAAAATCTTGACAAATATATAAATAAGCATAACGTTATCTTGATATACATAATGCACAGGCGCCATGTTTTGGCCAGACTACTGGCAGCCAAATAACACACTCTTTGGGGTGCACGAGCGCAGTTTGCTATGGGAAGTCCTCGGCGTACCCTTTATCGATATGTTTGAACAGGAATCGGGCCAACTCTTGATCGACCGTCAGGTACATACCAAATATATAAATAATATATATATATATATATATATCACTTACCATAGTGCATGCCAAATATATGTAAATAAAACTATATGTCAAATATAAATATATATATTATAATATTTCACTTTCAGGTCGTACCATATCACGTTTACATGGTGCGTAGAAAAGTGCGACTCCGTTACGTGTCCTCATGCGGATGGCGTTTCGGCTGCCTCGAGTGATCCACGACATGGATTTAATATGGGGGGACAAGGACCTATTTCGACTTGCTTGGTACAGATACATGAACCCCCCTCCATTGCTTGGATAACAATATATATATATATACCCCTCCATATCAAAATATTATTTCTAATCCTGAATAAATACAGGATGCAAGCCCATCGTCCGTTTCACATGATTCAAAAACCACCTGGCTCCGCTGGACTCAAGCACCACCAGTAAGCGAAAGAGCACTTACTATTTATAACTAGAAATATTTGATTCGATTCTATATGTAGATTCGACCTATTTTGTGGCCATAGCATGGTCCAGCACGACCCCGACGGCCACATTCTGTTTTTGCACCGCAATACGTTTAAGTTGACGGGAGCTGTTCAAGCCCCCCTGCTCTGTACGTACCCCCCCCCCCATCCCCCTACTTTGTGTGTTTTGACCTTGTTGACTTTTCAATATACTATGTGATAGGGGGGCATATTCAAGACTTTAACGGAGGTGTGGCGACCGTCGACTATGTCGTTCGATTTGCGCACGGTGGTGAAGCGTTCCAGAACTTTAGGTGCCATCAAAAACCTCAGTCATTTTGTGAAACGTGGTTCATTTTTTGCAGGTGTTTTGGGAATGACACCAACTACAGCCCAGCGTTTGACGTGCGGTCGTTCTCGGAGTTTCCGTTTGCTTCGATTGAAACGTCGTTGAATGCGTAAGTCAAGGATCTTAGAGACTGAATATACATGTACATGTATGCAAGTTGAAAACTATATCCGAAAAGGGTGGCTTATGAGTGTGTAGGTTTGCCACGCAAGCCGCATCACTAAGTACCACCACAGCATGATGCGTCGAGCAAAGATATACTTCGAAGTAATACTGTATATTGGTTAGGTCGTATCGTTACATCCAAAGTCGAAGCTGCCAGCACATTATTTCCACATACTGTAGTGTTAATACTCGTTGTACACGTTCGGCGTCTAGGACACTTTCTTAGCTATATTTGTTTCACCTTTTCAAGTGTTTCAAAGCCTCGTCTCACTCGCTTTCGTTTTCCAGCGACCGAAACGGTGATCGGTTACACCCTTTTCCAGTTTCACGTTCGGTTACATTACAACCACCGCACAATCCAAGTTTCGAGGATGGTGAGCCGCCCTCGACGATGGAACCAGCGAGCCATTGCATGCGCGGTGGGGCTGCTAGTGTCTTGTAGCGTGTTACTTGTGGTATTGGACGTTCGATTTGTGGACATCTTGCAGGTATCGTTCAAGTGCCCTTCTCCCCCGCTCAACCACACGCACCCAGTACTACCATCCACACCTTCATTCCTTACTGTCAACTCCACTATTGCTGGCGACGTGGTCTTGGCTGCTATTGTGGCTCCTCCTTCTACGACGACGACGACAGCTTCGACCCCGCCACCCCTCGCAACTCCCCGAGTGGCGTACATGCTCTACGCCACGGACGCCCGCACCGTATGCAACGCCGTCATAATGGTACACAACATTCGCCATCTCGGCACACCGCTCTCCATTCCAATCGTGACCCTCGTTTCATCGTCATTACCTCCACAGTACACTTTGTACCTCCAAGAGGCAGGGGCCGTGGTCGTCCCCGTGGAGCCGTGGCAGCAGCCGCTGGTTCACATCTCGGACGAATACGCCATGTCGCTGACCAAACTGCGCATCTTTGAACAGCGGGGATACGACAAAGTCGTCTACCTTGATTCGGACGCGGTCATTCAGCGCAACTTGGACCATTTGTTTCATCTGGGGGACGCCATCTTGTGGGCCCCGCACGCGTATTATATTGGCGAGCAGTATGCATTTGGCACGACGCTCCTCGTCGTCACGCCCTCCGACGCCGCGTTTGCCAAGTTGCAGCATGCGCTAGAGACCCCCCCCCGACCAAACTACTACGACATGGACGTGCTCAACGACCTGTGGCGACTCAGTTGCGGGTACCTCCCCAGCCACTACGTTGTGCTCACGCCATCGCTGAACGAAGACCTCGTGTGGGCGTTCAAAGACAAACAAGAACGCATCAACAAAACGTACGTGCATCATTACTCGAGGGGAAGCGACCTCGCCAAGCCGTGGCATGTATCAAAGTCGATGCTAGAGACGCGAAACCCAGCCTTCCATCCGCTTTTTTACGACCTGTTTTACCTCTATTGGGTCCACGAAGACAAGTATTGCAAGTGGATTCAGTCGTAGTAGTTAGTAGTTGTGGTTATGTTCAGGCTTCGTTGGCAGAATCAAAACCAAGATCTCAGTTGGATGGTTCACTGAGTAAATGTAGTCTAGTTTCCAATACGCTGTTACTTGCTTGTTCACGTTTCGATTTGTTGTTACTTTTTGGTTACAGTTAAGACCTCTATTTTAGCGGAACGCCATGGGTTCGTGAGATTTTTTTTTCGGCTGCAAAAATTGTACTAGTAGGATATTATAGCCAATCCAGTTAGAGTATGAATGGAATTAATTTGCTTTATATCCAATCATACACAAGAATGAATCCGATTGGTAGTTTAGTGGAAGATTTCTGGAGACAATTGAACCTCCCCATCATGGTGCGGATATGGAACGAACGTAGACGACATGTGTGACGCCTGTGTCGTAGAAATTCCGTTTCTGTGGTGACTTGGAGCCTCCTGCATGGCTTTTGGCCGAGATTCCATGCATTGCGCAATCGGTACGCGCACACGGCGCCAGGACGTCGCCGCCATGATGCTGTTTGAGTAGGTGCAGAATGGAGTGGATTTGGATGTCGTGACTGGCGCCATCGTGTCTGCAATCGTGAAAGCCGCCTCATATGACGAGGTGCGTTGCACTTTCTTACGTAACTTTCTCCTGGGACTCATCACGTGTAGGTCTTGGACCATCTTATTGCGGCCGTTGGCGAAGTCGATGCCAAGGTAGAAGGATGGACATACGTCGCATAGGAGGCGATAATGATGTGTGTGATGTGCAGGCCATTCTCGTGTCGATCAAGTGGATTCTCGTCCACGCGGCCAAGTACAACGTCCAGGAAGGCGTGCTTCTGTCTGAAGTCCAGCAACTAGGTACAACTCCTCCCCCAACCACAACACATTGAGCAGTGCTGTACTAGGATTGCCTTCGGGTGTGGCTGGCACATTAGCCTCGGTATTTCACCTCCATCAGCAAACGCTGCGCCGCCACTTGCAACTGCACAACCACCTGGTCTTGCCATACATGTCATGTACGAAATACTCAACCTTTTGTAGGCACCAGCATCATCGGCGGTACCTTGCAAATGGGAGCTGTCGTACACGTTGGCGACGGAAGCAGCCACGGAGCTAGCCGCTCCGAGCATCCAACTGACTCTGGGCCAGCCTGAAAAAACCATTGCGTTTGATCTGGACGTGCACACATTTCGAGTGTTGCGCCAGGAACTGCACGCTGCACGGGCGTTGATGGCGTCGTCAGCATCGCATGTAGAGTAGAGAATAAGCGAATATGACACTCGAGAAATACCATGTGGATAGATCGATCATGATGTTTACTACCGGTACATGGCATCGGGTTGTTTGATGTTGGATACATGGTTGAATTTTTTCAGTTTTGAAGTCGAACGTTCTATATTTATCGCCAGTATGTAGTCTGCCAAAATTGGTATATCTCTGTCAAGTGATAATGCCCATTCACTAAAGACAATGAATCCTGACTAATCTTAACTTGTTCAAGTCATGTGAACATGGTTTGAATACACGGGACTCTCTGCTTTACGAGTTCTGCACAGAACACTTATTGTGCTATACTTATCTCCAGCACTGTAATGAGGGCGACAAGGGGGTTTCGTTCACATGTGCGGCTAGTGTATACTGTATCGCCCTTGAGAAACTGGTACTGTACACTCATGTCTATATATATACTTCGAAGTATATATATATAGCCATGACGTCCAGATACCAATCTACCCTATTGTCGTTTGTTTGTTGTAAGTCTCAATATGGAAGGGGGCGTCGACGGAGGTGGCAGTCACCGCCGCAAGTACATGGGACTGGTCACGTTACTCGTGTTGGTTATCGTGGGGGTAATATGTTTGGACTCGTCGCTGGTATCCAAAATGCGGCGAGCCACCGTAGCTACCACCTCTCACTTGTCCATTGTAACTTCATCGACCCTTGTCAAAGCCAACAACACGGGCCCCTCTACTGACAACTCCACCAACCCCCCCGAATTCTCTAACGGTAGCAGAACCATTCCGACCGATCCGAACCACACGGCTGCTTCCCCCCGTAACTCTGACCGTCCTTTCGATGTCACTGGTGCCCGCACAGGTGAATCTTCCGCCCCCACCGCGTCCACAACCCCATTCCCCACACCCGTTGCAATTACCGCAACAACTTTCTCCCAATCCCGTCGTTTAGCGTACATGTTGTACGCCACCGATTCGCGCGCCGTGTGCAATGCTCTGATCATGGCGCGCAACATTCGTGCGACGGGGACGCCCGTGACCATCCCAATCGTCACGCTCGTCGCCAGCGACGTGGCTCCAGGCATTGCTAAGCAACTCATGGACCCATCCAGCAACTTTGTCGTCGAGGTGGTAGAACCGTGGCAGCAATCTCGGGTGCATTTGAGCCACGAGTACGCGAACTCGTTGACCAAGCTGCGTATCTTTGAAGAGCGCGGGTACGACAAGGTCATCTACCTCGACTCGGACGCGTGGGTCCAGCGCAACTTGGACCATTTGTTTCATCTGGGGGACGCCATCTTATGGGCCCCGCACGCGTACTACATCAGCCAACAATACGCGTTTGGTTCTACGTTGCTCGTGTTTTCGCCGTCCAACGACGTCGTGGCGGCCCTTGCAGCTGCACTGGAGACCCCCCCGCGGCCCAATTACTTTGACATGGACGTGCTCAACGATTTGTTTCGGCTAGACTGCGGCTACCTCCCGAACCATTACGTCGTGCTCTCATATACTTTGAATGACGACGTCACATGGTCGTTCAAGACAAAAGAGGATCGGATGGCTAACACCTATGTGTATCACTTTTCGCCTGGACTGGGGGTCGGTAAACCCTGGCAAACGCCCAGATCCATCCTAAGCGACATGGACCAAGCGTACGAACCTCTGTTTTATGACCTCTTTGCCCGGTATTGGCAACAAGAGGACACGTTGTGCGCGTCGTGGTTGCGTTAATATATCCATCAAAACTATATCGTCATTGAGTTGTTTGCTTTTGTATTCACTTGATCCACTACGAAGCAGATGATGCACAACTGACGCTAATATTGTGGTGGGCAACGATTGGGGGATTAAAAAATCATGGCGGTAAGTACCACGGAAACGAATGGCTCGGACACGTCGTAGGGGGTGATCCAGCCAATGGCCACTTGATACGTGTCACGCTCTGCGCACGACGCCAGGTAGCCGACTCGGAAATGGAACGCAGCCTCCCCCTCCACAGCAATGATACCTTTCTCAACACAGCCGGGTTGATTAGTTCCAACTTGGTTCCTCAGTCAATCCTGGACATGACTGTAGCATACTGACCAACAGGTTGCAATATTTCACAAACTCCAAATGTCTTTGTCGCCGCTGTGCCTACTGCACTCGTGTTGGAGTGGCTACATCGTTGGACTCCAGAAACGTATCTGGGTTGCTAATAGCACCATTCCTTCAAGAGGGCAATACACCCAATCACTCGCCACTGTACAGTACATATTGCCCAACAACCAGGCAGTCATCTTCTCCCATGCCCATCGCCTCCCCATATCAACACAAACTGACCACCGGCTGTCCGAATACTGGTAGTACTGTACCAACATGGTACTACAGTACTGTACGTGCAACGGTTCACCTTGTATACCCGCACCATGGGGTATCTGTACAGTAGAGTAGAGTTGTTGTCATATGAATCCGCCACTCGTGAATATTGCGGGATCACATGGCACACATGTGACCGCTCGACACTTTACGATGTCCTGGGCCTAAAGGATCCTTTTCGCTCAACTACTTCCATGCCCCATGGAGCTAGTTCACTCTTGGAATGCTATTTTGGCTTTATCTGTACTTTTCCTTGTTCGAAAAAAGAGATATGCTGGTCCACAGGTCCGTGGAGTTTCCATGGAATACGCCATGACTGACCCCACCTTCACCCAACCGCCACCATCCCTTGCGACGACCAAACGCTCCATGCGGCATACCATCAGTGTCAAGTACTTGGCCGCCCTTCTCTTGTGTGTTGGGTGCGGGCTGGCCATTCTCTCGTTCGACGTGGCTGCGATCTCGATCACTCGCTTCCGACGGCAACAACACGACACCCCGACCAACACCAGCAACCGCATCATCATCGACTGTATCACCGCGTCGTTCGATTCCGGACGGACCAACGAGTCGGTCCTCTGCAACGACCGCGGCAAGCCACGACTCGCGTACATGCTGTACGCCACCGATGCTCGGACGGTGTGCAACGCAGTGATCATGGCGCACAACATTCGCAAACTGGGAACCCCACCGTCCATACCGATCGTGACCCTTGTCGTCGACGACGTCCCCGCGGCGATCGTTCAACGCCTCACCGATGCCGGCATCGTCGCCATCCCCGTGGCCCACTGGAAGCAAGCAGGTGTGCCGTCGAATGCCGAGTGGGTCAGTTCCTTGACCAAGTTGCGCATCTTCGAAGCCCGCGGGTACGACAAGGTCATCTACCTCGACTCGGACGCGGTCATTCAGCGCAATTTAGACCATTTGTTCCATCTGGGGGAC